AGTGAAGCAGACCGCAGCGCAGTGCAACGGAGAAGTCGCCCTGTCGGCGCCAAGCTCCGAGCAGCTCACCTAGCCGAAAGCGGGCAGGTAGAACCGAAGCGACACGCTGAAGGCTGAACCACTCAGCGCGAAGTCCGCACCACCGCCGTACGCGGGGTCGGCTAAGACAGGGGCAGAGGAACGGCAGGGACCTACAGAGCTCTCACTCCACGATCCACACCGCTGCCCGGGGGGGGCCGGTGCGTCAGCCATCGTTTCCGAAAGCAGTGAGAGGCCAGGAAGCAACGATGAAAGAGGACTCGCAGGCCCAAGCGCCAGTGCACTGCCGCCTAGCGGGTAACGGCCGAAGGTCGCCGAGGTACGCTGCAGCCGCGGCCAGCTCATAGACCCTGGAGCGCAGTCAGGGCTGAATCTGACCACAGGGAGAACCGGGGAACGGCAAGTACCTACAGAGCACTCGCTCCACGGACCGCGCCGCTGCCTGGGGGGGGCCGGTGTGTCGTTCATCGTATCCGAAACCAGTGACTGGCCGGGGCTGCAACGATGAGAGAGGACACGCTGGCCCAAGGGCCGGTCACGACTGTCGCCGAGAATCGCAGCTGCCGCGACCACCTCATGGAGCGCTGGAACGCAGCCAGGGCTGAATCTGACCACGCGGTGGAGGGGGGGGGGGGCAGCCAACAGCCGCAACGAACACATGTGTCGGTTGGAGGGGGGGGCAGCCAACAGCCGCAATGAAACATGTCATGGAAGCAGCTCGCACAGAGCCGAGGCAGAGGGAGGGGTAGCGTGGGCTGCACACAGACCGCCGCCAGCAGAGTGGTGCGCAGGGGTGGGCCACTCCAGTCAACCGCCCCTGGCCAACCAAAGTAGCTGTCGAGAGAAACAGCAAAGTGTGGAGCGCGGGGGCGCGTCTGCGGCCGTCCCCAGTCCCCAACAGAGCAGTCAGCCGCCGTAGAGGGCAGCTGTTAGCCTTGGGCCGGTGGGGCCTGCAGGCTCACCCCCACCAACCGCAGGGGGGGTGAGGTGGCCAGGCAAGGTCCACTTATCCAGTGTGGGCTGTCTCGCTATGCAGCGCCTTGGGCGAGATGTTGGGACGCCCCCGCCCCGGCGGGAGTTGCCCGGGGCATTGCGGCCGCGGCCCGGCGCTGCAAGGTGAAACCGACCCCGGCTGGGAGAGAGCGGCGAGCGCCTGAGAGGTGTCGCCGCCGCCGGGCTGGGGAAGCAGGGGGCGCCCCGTCGGGCGGGCCCGTCCCTGCGTGCCCTTGGCGCACTAGTCAAGTCAGTCCCACCATCGTGAGCGCTCGTCGGTGTATGGGTCGTCTCCCCTGGGGGAATAACGTTTGCTTTTCGCTTTCCAATCACTATCTGTCCACGGTGCGCCCTGGTGGCTCCAGGAAACCCATTCCTGCCATCCCTGCCACGGGTTGGCGGATCCGGATGCACCAGTCCATTGCTCCTGCGAGGCCGCCTCTGTCGCTCTCTTGCCCTCTTTAGTCCATGGGCCGGGGCCGCTGCTGCTGTCGGGCCCGCGATGCGTGTGGGGTCTGGGCTCGCGTCGCAGGAGCTTGGTATGTCTGTCCTTGACCGTTGGCCAATCGACGTTGCGCCCTAGGTCTCTGTCCATCTTGTATGCGTCATACCCTGCGCTGCCCCATGCCTGAAGGAAATCGCTCCACAGCTGCGCGGTGTTCCGCTTGGGGTCATGCTTTTCAGTCCCGATGGTTCCCTGCCTCACGGCAGCCCCCCTCGCCCATGCGACCCAGACTCCATTAAACGCTCCTCCCAGCGTCCTTTGCAGGCGTGGTATATTCTCCTGTATCGGTTCGTCCTTCGTAACATCAGCTTCCTCGACCAGGCACACATGCATGGGGATGCCCCCATGGGGTCGCTCGGATCGCCTCGGGGTGGCTGCGTTTCTCGTGCGTCTCTCCAGGGTGCCTGGAGTACGCGTGGCCGGGCTGGGTCGCCTCTTGGGGACTTGGCGGCGCGGCGACCCCCATCCCCGGTGTCCTCCCACACGGGTCGCTGGCGGCCCCTGTCGCCGGTCGCGCGCCAGAGGGACCTGTCGTCCCTGGCGTCGTTGATGGTCCCAGCTGAGTTGTCTCCTCATCGCGGGTCATCCGGCGTGCTCCTGGCAGCGCGGGCAGCGTTCCTGGAAGCGGCCTTTTCGTAAGGGGACCAGGCCTCTGAGGTGACCCTGTCGGGTGGTGCCGACCAGATCCTGAGGTGGTCGGGGATTTCTTCCCCTCGGTCGCCAGCCGTCGGGGTTGGACTGGGCTCCGAGCTTGATTCCTTGAGGGTGTCGGACTCACTTGTCTTGTCTGCCTCCCCACCCCAGTCGACCCCATCTACTTCGCCCTCGTTCTTGCACGTTTGCCCAGTAGGAGTCTCCCCCTTCTGCCTGAGGGGCGCGCCCCCCTTCCGCCCCGGCGGCGTGGGGGCGCGCTCTGGTAGCACGGGAAAGGGGGTCCTCCTGCACGCCTCCGCGGTTGTCCAC